AGAGGTTGTAGCTAATAAACATTGCTGAACTGAATCTGCATGGTCTCCTGGAGTTCCTTGGGCTAGGCCTGTCAGAGATGTTCATAACAACAAAAATATCATCTGCATTTTGCCACTTTCTTTTCACCTCAAATAAATGTTCATAAAGGTTATTTTAACTATGGGATCTGTTTCATGTAAATGGAATGATAAAAATTCAGCAATAATCAAGGAGTTGTTGATATTTACACGTTAGGGGAAAAAACCATAATGCCAGACAAATAGGGCTTAAGACATCTGTGCTGAACACCATGGTATCCTCCTGGGGAAAAAAAAGAGCTAACTGGCTTGGAAATCTTTATCACAACTTCTATAAATAGCAGATTAATTGAGGGAGGCATGAAGGAATATTCAGCATAGAACCAAAAGCAAAAGCTTATGTTGTGTATGTAGTTTTAAAGGACCAGTATCTCCACATAAGCTGATTGTTTAAGCTGAAATGTAAATACATAAATAAATGTGCTGATTGCTTAAATTGAACCAAAAATCAGAAAGTGTTTATTTTACTATGCAGAGTTACTGCAGGAGTAACCCCTGGTTCACTGTATTCTGCTACTAACAGAGAATATATAGACAGTCCAAGTAGTTCAGAATGCAAACAAGGGCATCCATGGAGGTTGAGGGTCAATAATGTCAAGATGGTGGCCACACGTGTGTGATTGAAACCTTGGTTTTTTTTAATGTGTGTCATGTGTAATATATGTAAAAAAGGGGTGGGGATTTTGATTGCTGATTTGCAGTTGCCCTTTTGACTTTTTTGATCTCCTTAAGGACACCTCTGAATGTAGCCATAATAACTGACACAGTAGCTTGCCTGTTTTCCTTTGGAAATGAGATTTAGGAGGAAACTATCAGCTTGGACCTTAAACATAATAGTAAACAGTTGTCTTTTCCTGGCATCTCCATGCCCTTCCCAGAGAAGCAAATCTCCTAGTTAGGTCCATGATCATCACTTTTGTTCACAGCAACTACATAGATAGACCTTCTCCAGAATGACATGTCTCCAACTTGGCCCTTCATCTCTTCCAACAGGGCATCCATGACTGGAGTAATTGAGCCTGTCCACCTGCTGCTGATTGACCTTTTCTTCTCTTTCCTTCCATTTCCCCCAGAATTATGGACTTTTCAAGAGAGTTAGGTCATTATCTATCCATGTAATTTTCTTGGTAAAATATAGGAGAGGTTTACCAGTCCCTTCTCCTGTACAGCGTGAAATTATGTCTTTGCCATTGTCACTAAATGATAATCTGCCTCCAGCATCTTCCTATATTGCTGCTATCTGGTATCTGCTTGCTTTAGCTTGGCAGCTGGGATGATCTTCACACCTTGCTGGGAGTATATACTCTTGGTGTACACTCCCATTATTCTTTGCTCATCCCTCCCCACAAGAAAGCAGCATAGCAAGACTTGAAGGGGGGACACATCTCAGTAGTTGTATTCATATGGATTCTTGTGGCTGTGAAGTCAAGAATATAGTGGTAAAATTTGATTCAAGCAAGCATATTTGATTAAATTGTACAAACCCAATAAGTATGCATTGTCTGTTTTATTTATGAATCAAACATTGGCCCAATAAACTATGCAAACCGAACACTGAACAGCATTTAATCCATAACTTCTATTAAAACAAAGCATTTCTAAAATTCAGAAGCTAATTTAGAGAAGCACAGTCCACAAAATATATAATCTACCTTTTTATTTGATATTGATTTTATTACAAGTTGTACAAACTGCAACTTGACTTCACCAAAATGGAGACAAGCCAATAGATGATGCTACTTGTGCAAATTTGTCCTGTTTTTTGTTCATTATAAATGGATGGAATGTGCTAGTTTTGAAATAAGAAATATTATTCTAGTTGTAGTGCCGATCATTAAGTTGAATAGTTAATAAATAATTAATAAGTATAATTATAATAAGATTCTTAATACAGATTCTTAAATGTAAGAACTACAATCTCTCTGTACAATATGAATCTTGGGGAGGAAAAAAAAACCCTGACACAGGGATTCCAACAAATACGATAACTTTGTGATATAATCCTGGTGAAAAAGATGGGGAAGGGGTCTCTGCAGACAGCTTACAAGATGTTCTAACACACTATCCCTAAACAATACAGAGAAAGCAATAGGAAGGATGTTCTGATCCTATTACAAATTTATATTTGGATAATGAGTTCTGTTTTGATTGCAATTCTTATCTAATTTGTGCTTGCCACATAAGCAGTGGAACTATCCATAACCAGTGTAGTCATACCTGACATTAGAAGTGAGATCAAAGATCAATTCTGGTCTATGACCTGAATCTAAAAAAACGTTTTTTGGTGCTACCTGGACGCTTGGACCTGATTCTGGGGTCTGAACTCTTGCTTGTTGGATTCTGTCCCTAAACTTGAATCATGTTTCTTTTTTCTTATGTATTTTGTTCATACCAAAACTTCAAATATTAAGAAATCTTTGGAAGGAAATCTACAGATCTTACACATAAATAGGCTTTTAGTAGCATAGAAATGTCATATCACCAACAAAGTCTCTTTGATTTTGCCATCACAAGAAAATGGTTTAACTTGATACTGGGGGAAGGGGTGGGGGTGTGGCACAACAGCTAGTTTATCATCATGTTAAACAAAAGTCTAGTGTACTCTGAAAGACACATTAGTGTTCAATACCAGCCCTAGAAGAATAAAGCAACTCTGAACATTCAAGAACAAGTTAAACGTTCATGCTTCTTAAACTGAAGTTGGACCATATGTTTAAAAATGCACATAGAGCATTTTGGCTATAGTCTGCAGTAGTTTCATCAAGTTATTTTACCTCTGCAGTTATGTTTGCTTCTATGCAATGGGATTGTTGAAATCATGTATTTGACCAAGAGATCAAATCTCCTTTTCTATATGAATGATCTTTCTCTGTTGTGGTAAATTTGTCCCCATTGGCGAAGATGCTGTAATGGCAGTAATGAGGGAGTTAAAACTGTCTTTTGTCACGAAACGTGATGTACTATATATAGTTTGTTCCATTTGCATAATTCCCCAGTATTAGCACCAACATTCCTGGCATCTGAGCTCATGGCAGACGAATGGTGGGCAAAATTGTCACCAAAATAAGCATCCAGAGGCCCAATGGGGAGTTTGCAACAGCAGCAAGAGAGAATATTATTTGTTTGTTTTCTTAAACAGTAAAGCTCTGACATCAGCCAGTCTCAGAGAAAAGGTAGCATCATCTAGGCTGAGGGACACCTCTCTGCTAATCATAAAATGGGTAGGCTTCAGCAGCCCCAAAGCCCAAGACTTGCAAAAGACTCTGCTGCAACCCTTGTGTGACTATGAAGAACGTCTAAAGGAACTAGGTATGTTTAGCTTAACAAAGAGAAGACTGAGGGGAGACATGATAGCAGTCTTCCAATACTTGAAGGGTTGCCATAGGGAAGAGGGCATCGATTTATTCTCCATAGCGCCTGAGGGTAGGACAGTAAGCAATGGTTTTTTGTTGTTTTTTTTTGCATGGGACACTTGTTTGGAAAATTCTGAAAGTTCATTTCCTTCTGCATCTGCAATTCATCCTTCATTTCTGTTCTACTGCACTTTCTGTGATGTTGATGCCAAGGGAGCAGAAAACATTTTTAATTTTTTAATTTTTAAAATTTTATTTTTAAATATTTGTAACATGTTTTTCATTCATATAATTCTATAATCCATGTACCTCTGAAATTTTACAGGTTTTTGTCTCTGTATTTATATGTGACGTTTTCATTAAAAAGTATACATACTTGCACACCCATGTGCCTGCATGCATGCACACACACACACACAAAATGAGGGAGGGAGCTTGACATAACCATTTAGTTTTCTTGACACCAGTACAGAAGTGGTTTTCATTGCCTTTTGAGATCTTTCCCCTACTTTTCTAGTCTAGCCCACCACCATGGACTTCCCAGATGGTCTCACTTCTAGTATTAACCAAGACTGATTTTGCTTAACTTGGAGTTAATAAGCCCAGGTTGGCTGTCCTGGCATGGGGTAGCCCAACCCGGGGGTGTGGAAGGTAAGGTTAACATTTACGTGGAAAACCACTGCTGCACAGAATAACCAGAGATTTAGGTCAGATTGAAAAGTTGGAAACTGGAAAAAGGGAACGGCAAGTGAGTTTGGCATTATTACCAAGAAAACTGCATGGTTGCATCCGTACAGTCATCAAAGTCGAGCTTGAATCAAGGATATCTTTACTTTATAAAGATGCAATGTCTTAAAGATCTGGGGTGGGGAAACAGGCAAGAAAGAAGCATTGCTACTTAGGCACGTTTGCTCTTGGTTTATTTAACATGCATCAGGATAGTGAGAGTTGCCGGTTGCCTATTACTATAAGACACACACACACACACACACACACACCCTTCTTTATACCAGTGTGTTCATCCTAGAATATCTCAGTTCTCAGTACTATAGCAAGTGTTCCGGATAGCCTGAAGGGTAACCACAATGAGATTTACTGTACTTTTTAGAAAATGTGTTTGAGCTACTAGCATCACTCTGCAAAACTGCAAAATACCTTTTATTATGTTAGAAAGTTTGGGATATTAGAGTCCTAATCCCGTAATAAATGATACTCCTTAATTTGGTATAAGAGTTTTATTTTTGCAGCAACGGACTTAACTCGATTACCTCTCCGGAAAAAATGCAATTGATCTGACAGAAGAGAGAAGGAAGAGACGACACACGCAAGAACTACTGTATAAGAAATGAAAAATAAAGCAAAGGGGCCAACAAGATTGAACAAATGAGGGTGGGAAGAACATTACGTTTTAGGAAATGTAGGGAGGAGCAGGTTTTTAACACTGGAGCCATCAGATCGTGCGATGCCTCCGCAGGCGGCGTGGGGTACGTGGCCGTGTTCAAATGTCCAGCCAAATGATACAACCCAGTTGTCGTCAGCAGTCGAAAAGCCGCAGACTGGCCAATGGAAAGCGCCACAAATTGCAGCCGAGATTGATTCCACGCTGGCCAAAAGTTGCGCGCACCGCCTCCTTTTCGCGCTTTCGCCCCGGTCGAGCCGCGCGGCGGTGGAGCGCCGCCTGCCGGCTATTCCCTCCCCACCAAGCCCCGCCCGTCCCAGGCTGCCCCGCCCTCTTTGGCTCGTTTTCTCGGTCTTCGTCGGGATTATGTCATCTGGCGGCAGACCGAGCGCTTGGGTGCCGTAGCCTTCCCGCGAGCACAGGCTGAGGCTGCTGCTGAAGGAGCGAGATCGCGCGTCTGAGGAGCGGCGCGGAGAGCCGGAGCTGCAGGGATCGGGAAGAAGCAAGCTCGGCGCCCGGGTCTGGGAAAGCTCCTCTCCACCAGGCGCGCCCCGGTGCTCCGATTGCTTCCCGGCGCCCCTCGCCACTGCCTTCAGTGGCTGTGCCTCTGCGGATCCCGTTGTCTTTGGGGGTCTCCC